GCCATTATTGTTTTATATTTTTCCTGTTGGTCTTTCTTTCAAGAAGTATATTCTGTTTTTCTAGCTGCTCCAGATTGGTCTGCGTGTCCTTTCAAGTGGAAATTTCCCACCTCTGAAGATTCTGGATGGGGTTCAGGATTCCACCTATGGTCTTAAGTAATGCAGAGGCTCCTCAGGAAACCTCCTTCACCGGGCACATTGCAGCCCCATTTTAGGTATTCCAATCAGCTATAGGTAGAAGACTGACTTACAAGCTTTCTATGGTGATATTTCTGGCTATTCCTTCATCACCCCTCAAAGAGTCTATTTTATGATGGTATGCCAGGGAAACCAAGATTCAAAGACAGCCAAACATCTTAACATTATTTCCCCCCTTTTGCCCATTCCAACCATGTCTCAATCCCTGTATCCCAGAGACCTGTTGTTCCAGGGTTGTGCATACATCATTATTTACCTCTGTCACACTTAGCCCATGCAAACTTGCCTAATTGTATTTCCATCTGCCTTGTTCTTCCATTCCCCTCCCCCTTCTTGTGTATTGCCCCCCTCCCAAACTATCCTATGCAAGTGTTTTCATGGGTTACAGTTGTCCTTGTCCCACCCTCTTCTTCAAATCCTCTGGTAGCTCTAAAACCACTGCAGTCAGAGTAAAAACCAGCAGCCCCTGAATGAAACAGAATGTGGTTTTTTAAGTTTTTATTGTGAACTATGTGTTAGTTCACATGGGTGAACATTATCTTTACATTCATCCTATTGTATTTTGTTTCACTGAAATGATTACAGTTCCCTGCATGCATCATCAAACAACCAAAGGGTACACCCCTCACACCTGCCCCCCGGCCAACAGCACACAACCCTGCTCCCTCCCTGAGCCCACAGTCCCCAACCACTCCTTCTGTCCAGGTCATCCTCTCTGTCTCCATCCCTAGTGTCACTGCCTGCCTGGACAGGGTCTCACACTTCACTTTTCTCCCTTGATGGTTCAAGGGATCTCTGCTCCTGGACTGCAAAATCAGCCACTCCCCTCTTTGTTACCAAACATTTACATTTACCTTTCCAACACTCACTGTCAGACCTGGTAGCAGTCATTCTCTATTGAACCACTTCACGTTTTATCGACCCCATCCAGACAGGTTGGAGACAATTCAGTGGAGGTTCTACATTTCCCTGTATCCTCTGGAGCTAGGTTCCCTATTGAAAGCTTACAACTAGTTACTTCTTGCCTTTGTAGTTACCCCATTTTGGGTAGCCAATGTCTAAGTTCCCCATCCCTGTTGACCCTGTGTACCATTGGAGTGGGAATGATCCTCACTATTGAGATTTGTCTGCTTCTTTGTCATACTGCATCCACAAGCATAGGTCAAGTTCATCCACTTGTAGTGGGTTACTCTTTTTTTTTCCCCCTCTTCTTTCTTCCTCTAGTCGTGTTCTGATCATCCAGCCATTGATGCTAAGTCAAATGGGTACTATCTGCGAGTGTGGGTGTTCCTAGGCATCTCCCCTCACTTCATAACAGCTGGATGCTTCACAGTCCATTTTAGTCCTCTGGGGCCATGTCCCTACCCCTGGGTCCAGGAGTCCTCAGGTCTCATCATACTGCTGGTTAATCAGGTCTCAATCCAGGTTAACAGGAGTCTATTGAATCTGGTCAGACTTAGTTTACAACTTCATTGCTGTTTTTCCCCCACTTCCCCTTATTGGTGAACAACGTGGTCAGCAGCAGTACCATATGCCTGCTAGTGTATTCCATTTGA